GTTACTAGATAAAGAAATGGTTTTCTAAAAAAAATTTGAGATGTTCATAGAAATTAGATTTCAAACAGTTTACATATTAATATGGTGCAGAAATGCAAACCTCAGTCTTTTATATGGATGCACAACTAGCAGTTACGTAGAAAGAACTGTAATTCCTAAATTATAACAGAAGTATTCGGTAAGGGAGTACTGTACCGTAGTGCAAATTTGAATACGAAAATTATAATGAATTTGATCGCACACGGACTTATGAAATTTAATTTATAATCCTTTAGCGTTTAGGGGTGGGGCAAATGCACTGTAGTATTGTCCTGTTTGTCGTGTTAGGGTTTATAAAAAATAACCTTTTCTTTTATAAACTATTCGTCTAAACTGTTAATTGTCATTTTTATACTGTATTCTATACTTTCATCTCATACCAGAAAAAAAGATTTCTAATTATAGTAAATAATGTGGATCGTACGTACGTACATACGTACGTACGTGCATTGTGAGTACGCAAGTACTGTGCATACAAAAAAATTAGTAAAGGAATTTTCTGGATTCGTAATCTTAATTTGATGATTCACGCGCGTCGCAGTTTGTTCTCCGAAAAAATGTTCACACCATCCAACGGATTAAAATGGACAGATATTCGTAAATATGCGTCACTATTTCATTTTAGTAAGATAATATTTAAACTGTTTCTGATTAAATTTCGGGAGTAAACAATTAAGCAATGGAAATTTCTACGTATTATATTTGTTACTATTATTAGAAATCAATATAAAACTGCGCAATATAATGATAGGTTTTTTAACCTTCAGGAATAATAAAATTCCTGAATAAATTGGTAAATTAATTCATTTAAGAAACGATTCAAATGATCATGGGAATCAAGGGTTAAGTGGTTCTCAAAATAAATAATTAAATTTAATTATTTATTGAAAAAAAAAGGGAAAAAAGGCTCGGCTTTGATGAATCAACAACAGTCAATGTAAGGAAAATTATTATGTCATAGTACGTACTGATGTACGTGCGTACTGTCAATTTTTTTATAAACAAATAAAATATAAAAAGAAGGATGATTCGGAATTTTTTTTTTGTATGTTTTTTAAAAAACATAAGGAATCCCAAGAGATGGGGTACTGGAGTCAAGAGAGATATACAAATTGGGTTCCTTACGATATACCATCCCCATTTCCTTATAATCGTGATCACGGACCCGATCTTCAACGGGTTTTACAAAATTTGTACTCGCTTAAATTGAAATTAAGAAGTATCGACGAAGTAAGCTTAATTCCGATGGAAACTCGTAATTACCTTCGCTGGGCATTTAAAGCCATATGTTCATGTGAACATAATAAAACCCTTCCTAACCCAATGATTCGTGAAAGCTTAGATGTCGCATTTTCAGATATTCTCGACAATATCATTCCGCAAATCGAACTTGGCAACCCCGCGCCATTTGTTCCATTTCGAGAGAGCATGACGGATTTGTTGTTGGATCATAGAGATATTGGAACGATCTGTCAAGAGTTACAGAGCGATTTAGAAGAATACATTCAATTCACATATGAATTTTCCTACGGAATGGGAAAATTGGCGATGGTCTTATTGACGCAATATCCAAACAGCAAATAAAAATTAGTATATACATTTTAAATATGGTTATTAGAATATCTTTTTCTCTTAGAACATTGTATTATAGTATATTAGTATATATTAGATTCTTTTTACATGTTTTAATAATTGTTGATATCTTATGTTTGTATTTACTATTTGTATTTACACTTTAAGAGAATATAAGTTATGAACTGTAAGAAAATATATAAAAATGCAATTTGATACATAGAATTTTACATAAGCTCTAAGAACTCACCGATTATTGTCCAAGACAATTTCCACGTGTTTGTTTTTTTTCTGGCATATACAAGATCTTCACGAAGTCCTTTTTTCGAAGCCTCATAAATTCCGTAAATATGTAAATAAAAATATTAATTAATTAAAAAAATGTATATTATATATGTATCCGATTTCAATTTCGATTTAACTTATGTAGTATGATAATAAAACTTTCATTTAGCGTTAAACCAAACCTGTTAGTCAAGTTTGGCGTCACATTGTTAAACCTATGATTGCTAAAGTTTCGTTGGTAATATGCTCACAACTTGTGTACTACAGTATTTAAGTTACGTAAAACTAACACAACCGCAGCAAATTATTGATGATAAACATCGACAAATATAGTTAGTTTGTTACGTATTATTTTTGTTCGGAACTTCCGACCTCGTGATTCGCAATTTATCAAGATTTTTTAATTTTTTTTTTAATTTTTTTTATACAAAATAAAATTTATACGATAATAAAATTTATTGCAGGAATATAATCTCCTGTGCAGAAATATACATCATCAGAATCTGTTGATTGGTCTATATGATAAAAATAAGGCTCACGGTAATGTCCGTTTAATACGGCGATTATCGAAAAAAAATCCGAAAAGTTTATAGTTTCTGAATCTATCTCCATTCTACAGATTATACAAATGAGGAAATGTTTTTTTTTATCAAGGAAAATTAATTCTAGGAATTTATTCGGTTCGTGCCGAGTGACTTAAAATACAAAAGGTTTTCAGTGAGTATTCTTGTATTCTAATTATAAAATTTTGTGAAATTCTATCTATATATAAATTCTCATGTCTACTCCTCAATTCGCATATTTGTTTGACCTCGTGCTGGTACAGTTGTAAGGTAAATTTACTAGTGTTCTAAAAAAGTAATGCTCGATCCTAAATCGCTTTTCAAAAAAGTCAACTAAATTTATTTGAATAGTCCCAAAATATATTGTTGTAACCATGAATCGGAATAATTGAATACAAAAAATATATATTCGGTAATATTATATCGATAAATATTATAATAAATAATGGATATTTCTATCTATCGTTATGTGGATACTTTGAATCATTGTCAATTTTATCGGCCAAACCAATTTTCTTGACCGGCCAAAATTTTGTTTGGCCAATAAAATTGCAACACTACTTTGAATGATCAAAATCACGTCCCCACTAGCGACGTTACCCAAAACATTTGGAACGTCCCAATTGTGATGAACAGTATCACACAGTTTCAGCAATAACAATAAGACTGTAAACACCTAATGTGATTTTTCACACTCCTGCCGTAATTAGTTACTATATAAGTTTTAAACAGTTACGTCATAAGCTTTAAATAGTTACGGAATATTTCTACGTACCGCATCTCTAGTTTCCACTGATGGCATGAAGTTGAAACATTATGCACTTATACGTTGAGCTATCAAGAAAGACGCGTGCTATTACATGAAATTATTTATCTTATATTTAAAATTTGAATTAGAATCGCATTTAAATAGATCATGTTCAATTCTGTTGCCTCTTTCGATATCGTTACGATAAATTTGAGAGTACAGAAAACAAACAATATGACAAAAAAAGATTTAGAATTCGATTCCAATTTAACATTCTTAATCAATTTAGATTTCTTTGAAATTAACTGATAAGCAAGTATATCATAGAATGCATACAAGAATTACGTAAGTACTCGTATCAAAAATTTTATCTATTGTAATTATTAATTCAATCTAAAAATTTTTATTGTGTACTTGTTGATTTATGTTCTAAACTAATTATAAACGATTATAAACTTTCATTCGGTTATGATAGAGTAGAAAAGGTATTGTCACGGATTATCGTGAAATTGGATTATCGTGAAATTTGGATCTATTTTATGTACGATTTTTAAGTTAGGATTTAGGGTTAGAATTATTAATAAAAGAGTATAGGTGGATTTTGGTAGGGCTTATAT